GCTAAGTGTTGGGGCCATAGCGTGAGCCATTTGTCGCGGGCGCGCTTGGCAACAGTCCATTTCATCAGAAAGGTCAAGGGTCCGCCGCGCGCAGCGGCTTATCAAAGCTGGCCCCTCAGAGGCCCAACCCGCTATGACGCCGCGCAAGCAGTTTTCAACGGCCGGCCGGCCACGTCAAGGCCAGGTCCAGTGGCCACTCTAGTTAGGAAGGCCAGTGGCTATTCTATCAAGGCCAATGGCCATTTTATCAAGGCCAATGGCCGTTTTATCAAGGCCGATGGCCGCTTTATCAAGGGGAGCTTTGGCGGTCTTCAAGGCCAGGTTAGGGTCTAGGACCTAGGTTTTAGGGTAATATAATATTGCTTCGCATATTATGTGCCTGCAGGCACGGTCCCAAGAGAAGGGAGGCCCTTGGGGCAGCTGCATAGCTGCTGGCGCTTTATCGGCAATAGCTTGGAGCTATTGCCCGGGCGCTAAGTGCGCCGTGCGCTCACGACTCCATGTCGCTCTAAGCGAGCGGTAAGTCGTCGCGAGCTTTAAGTTTAGGGTTTAGGGTTTAGGGTTTTGCGCTCGGCGGCGCGTGGAAGAAGTTTGGTTGTAGGTTTTGTGGCAGCTTTGACATGTCTTAGTCAAGGCAGTCTCGCCGCTCGGGCTCAGCGATCGAGCGCGGTCGAAAGCGGGGGCCTGAACGGCCGCCCCGCCTCACATTTCCCACCCAGCGCCAAGAGGGCGGCTCCCGCCCTTTGCACGCTCCGCCTTTTAGGGTTTAGGCTTCCTAAACTATCCTGCAGCTGCCCTTTAGCGGCCGAGGCTACAACAGCGCTGTGAGAGCAAGTCGGAGGTTTTGGGGTTTCTTCCCCCAACAATGGATTTCCCCTCCGCGAGGATTTAACATCCTTTGCTCCTAAACTCGTCCTTCAAGCAAGAATGGAAGGTTTACGGTGCGGCCTGCCTTGCTTTTCACCCCCGAAGCAGGCTCAAAATAAAGTAGGGGTTGGTCGGACCCGAAAATAAGTCATCTATTTTATTTTAGTCCAACCCCTTTTTTGATGCGAATTCATGTTGGCCTCTGTGAAAAACTCTCAAAGTAGGACTGAACTCATTTCAAATTAACATGAGGTAATCTGTGACTTCCCTAGGAAGTGCCGTTTTTTCAAGTCCATTCAAGGCCTGGGAACTGTTGGACTGCGGCAATTATATTTTTGGATGTACCACCTTTTTTGATTGGTTTAAAGAAAAACTAGAAGGGACACCGTTGCCATTTTGTGGGTACACTAAAAAAATACAGGCCCATTTTTCTTGGTCACTGTAGAAAGGGGTGGTGAGATGCGGGATGCTGCCGCCAGCCCTTTCGAACATCAGTGTGTATACCAAATTGCGCCGCGACAAAAGGCGCTCATGGCGCTCCTGACGTGGCTATCGTGGCTGATTCTGACATCCTATTCTGCAGCATGTTCGGATTGTGTCTTTGATGTCATGATTCTTGATGAACCTCCCACTGGCCTGGTGCTCGGTGTGCTCAGAATGTGATTTTTGAAGTTGTACCTTCCGAGTTGAACCCCCCCCGACTTTATTTTGTGAGAAAAGCGGATATGCAAAATAAACATGAGTTGGACTCCCCTCGACTTTATTTTCAAAGGAAATAAAATAAAATACGTTTTATCCAACTCGGACTATTCAAACCAACACCCAACATGAGGTCAAAATAAATCGTGGTTTTTCAATTTTATTTGCTGGTAGGGTTGGACTATTTTATTTTATTTTCCAACAAGGTTGGACTGACCCTATTTTATCTGATAAAATGGGGGGGGATCCAACCCTGTTTGGAACCTCTAACGGGGATGCTTTTCCTTCCAATCAAAGGCTCTTCCGTCGGTTTGGGCTTGGATGCAGGCTGAGTCCTTGAGACAAGCGTATGACTACTGGCAGAATCAACCAGGTTTCTTGGGAAAGAGAAGGGCTTCCTTTGCAGGAAACGTGCGGTTTCGCAAGAAACTCCCCTACCTTGCCTGCCTGCCTACCTGCCTGCCTGCCTGCCTGCTTGCCTGCCCGCCTGCCTGCCTGCCTGCCTGCGTGCCTGCCTGCTGCCTCGCGCCTGCCTGCCTCGCGCCTGCCTCCTGCATTGCTTGTGCCTGCCTGTCTGCCTGCTTGTGTGCCTTGCCTGCCTGCTTGCCCGCCTCCTTGCCTTCTGCTTGCCCTGCCTGCTGCTGTCTGCTTGGGCTGCCTGCTACTGCCGGCCTGCTCGCCGCCCCCTCGCTTACCTGCTTGCCTTGCCCGCTTGCCCGCCTGCTCATTGGCGTTCCTCTTGGCTTGGCCTCGGATTGGTTTGGGGGTGGCGGACCCGGGAGGAATCGAGCCTGAAACCTTTTTTTGGAAACAGCTCAGCCCATGAGACCTGGCAGGATCAACCAGGTTTCTTTGGAGGAAACGTGCTGCTTTGCAAGAAGCCTGCAGAAAGCAAGCTTTTTTTACAAAACTGCTTGGAAGTGCGCTCTGCTTCTGTTTTTGAAGGAATCAAGCTCCAGATCGTGGCCTGAAGCCCTCGGTCAGCCCGTGAGACAAGCATATGACTACTGGCAGGAGCTTCCTTGGCAGGAAACATGCTGTTTCGCAAGAACTTGAAGAAAACAAGCCTTTTTTGCACCAAAAAGCTTGGAAGTGCGCCCCGCCTCTGTTTTGAAAGGAATCGAGCTCCAGATCGTGGTCTCAAGACGGCCCTCTGGAGGATCCCTTGGAGAAGCTTCCTTGTAGGTTTTAGGGTTTAACTATCTATACAAAGGTCAGTACTGACCTCGAACCCCGTTCTAGCGGTGGCACGACAGGTCACAGCCTGCTTGTTCTATTGCAGTTCTGGCATATGCTCGCAGCGCGGGTTCCAAGCACTTTGGCGTGGGGGTTTACATCGGCGGCCTAACCGGCCGCCGGAGAGTGGACCCCCTAGTTTAGGGTTTAGGGTTTAGGGTTTAGGGTTTGCCCCCGGAAGCGGCGCGCCTCGACCCAGAGGGTCGCGGGGCGGCGCGCCGAGGCGGCTGCTTCAACCCACCCCAATACCGCCCAGAGACAAATCTTTTAGGGTTTAGGGTTTTAATTTGGACCCCGGCAGGGCAAGTGATACGGGAAGCGCTTGATCGCGCGAAGACAACAAGCCCACAGCGCAAACGCTTGAAATTCGCATCGACGGCTTGAGCTCAAAGAGTCGCGCGCGGCGGCCACGTTGCTTGGCCGATTCACACCGCTTCCTAAAGACTTGGGCGCTTGTGCAGCTGCTTGAGGCTCGCGCAGGCGAGGGGTCGACGGCTGGCTGTGGCGATTTCTGTTGCGAGGCCTTTCATGTTATCAAGGATTTTTGCCGAGTGGCAGCCCAATGGCCAGATCTCCTGATTTGGGCTACGGATGGCCAGATTCATATGACCCCGTATAAAGAATTTATCAGCGCCGGCCGCTTTATTAAGGCCGATTTGCATCTTACCAAGGCCGATGGCCATTTTTACCAAGGCCAATGGCCATTTTATCAAGGCGGCCAGCCATTTTGTCAAGGCCAATGGCCGTTTTATCAAGGCCAATGGCCGTTTTATCAAGGCCGATGGCCGTTTTATCAAGGGTTTGACGCGGTCTTCAAGGCCAGGTTAGGGTCTAGGACCTAGGTTTTAGGGTAATATAATATTGCTTCGCATATTATGTGCCTGCAGGCACGGTCCCAAGAGAAGGGAGGCCCTTGGGGCAGCTGCATAGCTGCTGGCGCTTTATCGGCAATAGCTTGGAGCTCTTGCCCGGGCGCTAAGCGCGCTCACGACTCCATGTCGCTCTAAGCGAGCGGTAAGTCGTCGCGAGCTTTAAGTTTAGGGTTTAGGGTTTAGGGTTTAGGGCTTAAGGTCCGCCAACACAGCTTGGCGCCCAACAGAAATTCAAATCGACTCACGAAGATGTAAAGGAGCAAACCACTTTGCTCTATAGGGGGGGTGCGCCCTGAGCTTTGAACTTTTTTGGCTTGATAAAATGGTCTACGGCTTGATAAAACGGCTGGCGATAAAATGATCTACGGGCGATAAAATGGTATACGGGCTGCCTATAAAACGGCAATTGATGGCGATAAAATGGTCTACCGGTGATAAAATGGTCTACGGGCTGCCTTGGCTTGATAAAACGGCCATTGGCCATTGGGGGGCGATAAAATGGTCTACGGGTGATAAAATGGTCTACGGGCTGCCTTCGATTAATAAAACGTAATTGGCGTTGATAAAACGGCCATTGGGGTCGATAAAATGGTTTACGTGCGATAAAATGGTCTACGGGCTGCCTTGGCTTGATAAAACGGCCATTGGCCATTGGGGGCGATAAAATGGTCTACGGGTGATAAAATGGTCTACGGGCTGCCTTCGATTAATAAAACGTAATTGGCGTTGATAAAACGGCCATTGGGGTCGATAAAATGGTTTACGTGCGATAAAATGATCTACGGGCTGATAAAACGGCAATTGGCCTTAGTAACGGCCATCAGGGGCGATAAAATGGTTTACGGCGCATAAAATGGTCTACATGCTGCCTTGGCTTGTTAAAACGGCCATCGGCCTTGATAAAACGATAAAAAACGGCAATCGGCTTTGATACGACGGCCATCGGCCATCGGCCTTGACTAAATGGCCACGCCAGCTTGCCGGAACCTGAGCCCTGACCTCAAACCCCGTCACAGCGTTGGAGTCTGAACCTTTGCAGCTAGAACCGCAAGCAAGTGGGCCCTGAATGAACCCCCCGCAAGAACCTAGAACCCAACAAACAAACCCTGACAACTCAAGCCCAGAGCCCTGAACGCCTGAACCTCGAACCCCAAACCTTGATTGAACCCTCGAAGCCTGACCCCTAAACCCCAAACCTTAGAGCTGCGGCGCCAGGTCGCAGCTCAAACCCCGGACAAACCTTGCCCGGCGCGCCATTGTCCCTCTCCCCCTCTCTCTCCGCACTCGCCCGCCGCCCTAACCCCTTTTTGTTCCGCCGATCGTCTGTCACAAGCGCCTCGCGCTGCCCGGCCGGCACTTTGGGCACAACCTCTGGCGCTTGTCGCTCTGCCCGCGCGGCTCGCTCCAAACAGTGCCGCATTTGCGGCACGTGCTCTTGCCCTTGGCGCAAGATCCGCGCGAAGCGCAATTCAAGCATCGCTGGCTTGGGGCGCTCGCTTCCGCCTTTGCCGCGCCCTGCGGAGGAAAGAAAGTTTCGCAAGTCCGGCAGGCAAACCAGCCAGCGCGCTCAGGCCTGCGGCGCTTCTTCGCTTCTGCCCCGCAAGCTGCGCAGACAGCCGCCCACGGCATGGTCGCCGCAGCGCTGTTGAACTCGGAAATCGGCTTTTCGGCAAGGCAAACCGAGCACTCCAAAGCGCAAACTTCCTTCAAACACTTCAGGCAGCGGCGCGCGGCCTCAGAGTTGCCTCGCTGGAGCTGGGCCCGCGGGAAAGCGTCCTCCAGCTTCCGGAATTTACACCCGCGGCAGTCCAAGCGCGCCAGGCCAGACGGCAGCTTCCGCTTCAGCGTCTTCTGGCCGCCCTTGCTTGGGCCGCAGGCGAGGCAAATGGCCGAGCGGTTGGCTCGGACTCGCTCCCACTGCCGGTCGGAGAAGTAGTCCAGCGTCTTCACATCTTTGCATTTCTCGCAGGCCGCAGAGGGCGCCTTCGCCTCCCTGAAGGCTTCCCAGTCCACCTCCTCCCCCCGCACTTATTTCAGCAGGAGCGCCGGACCCTCCGGCGCGCCGCGGGTGTAGAGCCAGCGCTCGAAGGGCCTGCCGCAAACGCTTCGCTTTTCTTTCCCCCTTCCCTCTTTCCCGCGCGTCAAGATCAAGACGTCCTCCCTGGAGCGGACCCTGCTCGCAGCCACGGTCCCAAAGGTCACGTCAGTCCGCTTGTCGATGTTGAAGTCCACTAGCGCCGCAGGCAGCGTCTTGCCCTGGCTGCCGTGGGCCGTGATCGCGTAGGCCGGGGCCAGCGGCAGCTGCGTCCGCGCGATCTTGAGGACCGGCTTCTTGCGCTTGGCGTCCAGCTTCCAGACCTTGCGGGCGGGGTAGACCGGGTAGCCCGTCGAGCTGCCAGGTTGCCCCGTCAAACTTCACATAGACGCAAGTCGGCCGCAGGTCGTTCTCCTCCCAGACCCAGGAGTGGACGTGCCCGGCGCTACCTCGGAGGAGGAGCTTGTCCTCGGAGCGATCAAGGTGGTCGGCCAAGACCCCCCCCCCCACCCCCCGCAGCCCCGCGATCTTTCCCGACCCCGCTTCCCCTTGAGCCTGCGTCTGCAGAACCTCGGCGGAGGGGGCGTCGAGAGCCACGGACCAGCGGAGCGGCGACCCGGCCGCGCGGCTGTAGTCTTCCGCGCGGTCCTTGTTGATCTGGTACTTGGCGTCGTTGTTGGCAACGACGGCCGCCGCCCGTCTGAACTTCTCTTCGCTCAAGCGCGAGTCGCCGGGCCCGTCGACGACCCGGCGCCGGGACTCGCGCTCTGCCGCGGTCAGTCGACAGCCTTCGACGGGCTTGCCGTGGAGGTAGCGCCAGTTCTGCTCCGACAGCTCGCCGCGCCGCAGCTCGTCCACGACCTCGTTCCACCAGGTGTCCTTGCAGCGCTCGCGCTAGGTCTCTGCCGTAGTCCGCCAGGAGGTCCGGCTCGGCGTCGGCGGCCGCGCTCAGCCGCGGCGGCCGCCGGCTGCTGGGCACGTCCGCGAGGTAGCCGCCGCTCGGCGGCGGCAGCTGGTAGAAGTCGGCAAGCAGCAGCACGTTGACGCCCGCGAAGGCCCGCGAAGGCCCGCGAATCCCCGGCCGCGTTGCGCTTCCACTGGCTGGCCGACGGGACGACCGCCCGCAGCCGCTGCTCAACCTGTTGATCGCGCAAACAGAAGGGCGGGGCGCAAGCGAGACCGCCCCCCCCCCGGCACGCCTGCGCCAGCAGCCGCGCGTTGACCATGCTGACCTCGTCGACGACGAGCCATCTCCAGTAGCTCATTCTCTTCGCCGCCTCCTGGCCCACGGCGCGGCCCAGCGCGGCCGCGTCCACGCCAAGGCCGCAGGCGTTGTGCAGGGTCCGGCCGCGAATGTCGGCCGCGTTGACGGCCTGGAACGCCGCAACCTGCGGGGCGGCGACCCCAGCAGGGCAAGAGAGCCGACCGCAATTTCCCGCGCGCCTCAAAGTCGATCCCCTGCGCGTAACCGAGCTGCTCCTCGAACAATTCCCGCAGGACTTCAGGACGTGGGACTTCCCAGTGCCCGGCGGGCCGTGCAGCAGCCAGGCCAGCGGCTCGGCTCGCCGCAGAGCGATCTCGTGGTCCGGCGGCACCAGCTCCAGCTCGACCAGAACCCTTTCCACCACCACCCGCAGCAGCTCCCATTGCTTGCGGTTCAGACCGCTCCGGACGCGCTCGCTGCCCAGCCAGTCCAACAGCGCGTCTGCGGTCCGGGGCGGGCCCAGCGGCTGCACCTCGGGCGCCGACGCCCGGAAAGGACGGAAGTCTGCTCTTGCTCCGCGAGGCGCGGGCGGCCCAGGCAAGCGCGTTGTGGTCGAGCTGCTGCTCGCTTTGCGCTCGGGGCGGCCCGGCGAGCGCCCTTGGCCGGGCGAGGCGTCGGCCCCGCTCCTCCTCCACGCGGCCCGGGACAAGTCGAACATCTGCTTGGTCATGACGCACAGCCGCGTCGCCGCGGCCTCGTCCTCCTGCTCGCTGTCTTGTTCGTCGGAGCCCAGCTTGCCCGCGCCGCGGACGTGCGTGGCCCGAGCCGCCTCCAAGTCCGCCTTGTCGAAGCGCGCGCCGTCGTCCTGGACCTCGTTGTCGCTGTTCTCTTGCAAGTGCTGTTCCGGCCGGAGCTCCCGCGGCAGGCAGTAGACGAAGCAAAAGTTCAGCGCGAACTGCTTGACCTCTTCGGTCGGAAGCCTCGGAGAATCAGCCGCCGTCGGAGGGCGCGGCGCCAGTCTGACTTGCAGGGCGCGGCGGCCGAGGCGTCGTCGGGGTGGCTCGTCCAAGGGCAGAAGAGCAGCAGCACCCGCTTCGCGTAGTCCTCCTCCGAGCGACCGCCAAGCGCGCCCTGGACAACCGGGATGTGGGGCCTCGCAAGGGAACCGCGGCCGCCCGTGCCCTCTCCCCCCTTGCCTCTCAATTCTCGCAGCCCCCGCGCCGCGAGCGCCGCGCGCCTCCTCCTCCCCCCCGCCCCCTCGCCTGCCCCGGCGCGCAAGGATCCAATCGTGTCTGAACTGCTGGGCAAGCGCTCCACGCCCTAGCGGCAGCCAGTCTTCCCCGCCTTCCTCGTGGATCTCGTAGTCCGCCCCGGGCAGCAAGACGGCCTTGGGGTTTCCGCCAAGCTTCGCCGCCCCAGCCCGCGCGAGGCGTGAAAACCTTCGTCGCGCCGCTCGCTCAGCTGCTCCAGCACAAAGGGCCGCTTGGCGAGCTTGAAGAGGAAGTGGCGCGCGAACTCGAAGGCGCAGAGGTCGCGGACTTCCGCGGCTCGCCCCCGCGCCCCGTAGAAGGTCCAGAACGGGCAGGAGACCACGCGCCCTCGCTGAGCCGCCGGCCGCGCGTCTGTCCGCAGCTGTCGCGGCTCAGCCGGCCAAGCTTCGCCGGCGGCCGCCGCCTCCAGGAGTTGGAGGCCGAACTGAAGGAGATGGGCTGGACGGGCGCCGTCTTGAGAGACTCGGCCGCCGTGGGTCGTTGCCCGCCTGGCGCGTGGTCAAATTGGCGCACTCCACCGCGCCGCGGCAGACGCCGCGGGCGTAGCAGTCCGTGGTCAGCCGCTTGGCCACCCCCGCCCCGACGTAGCCGGCGGGCTTGTCCTTCAAGTCTTCGCCGAGCTCCCGATGGCCGCGCTGCCACTCCTTGAGCTCTTGCACGGCGATGGGCAGCGCTTGTTCATGTAGTCGCAGCCGTAGCCAGCTTGGGCGGCCTGCGCGACGCGAGAGCAAACAGTAACAGAGCCGGGCAAAACCGCGGCCACTTCCCGCCCGGCCTGGGTCCTCTGCGCTTCTCGGACGAGCAGCTTGACGTCGCCGTCGCCGACGCAGGTCTCCTCCTGGCAGAGCGCGTCGTCGTGGGTCTCCTTCGTCACGGGGAGCCGATAAGGCACTTGGAGGTCACCGTTGCAGCGCAGCGCCGCCAGCAGCGCCGGGTGGTTGCCGTTGAGGTTCGGGTCGTTGACCGGGCCCCACTGCAGGCCCAAGAACTCCGCTTGCCCTTGACGGGCAGGTCCAGCTGCTCGGCCAAGCCGCGGCAGACCAGAGCCGTTCGGCCCAGAATCAACTGGCTGTCGCGGGGGAAACCGCTCTTGCACCTCGTCGGATCCTTTTGGTCGCGGCAGTGGGCCAGGGGCCGCCGCTCGCCGCCTGGGCCGGCAGGGAGATGCACATGATGTTGCTTGCGCTGCTGCAGCTGCTCCACGTCCTCCGCCAAGTATCGCCGCGTCCACTCCTCGGGCCGCAGCCGGCGGCTCGCGTGGTAGGCCGGCCGTGTACTGGGATAGGGTCGTACTTACGCTGGAGTTACACTTATAAGTGACTTAGCACTTAGCTTGGACTTATAAGTAACTTATCTTGAACTTAGAAAAGAGGTTTTTCTAAGTCCGCTAAGTTCATTCTAAGTTCATTGAGTTTGCAAACACATGCGTTTTGAAGCATGGCAGTGATGAAGCATTACGCGCTGGAAATCACACATTTTCGTGTGACTCAACGCAGCAGGGCAGGCGCGCGCGCATGCAGTTTACGCTGTTTGTTCGCGCTGCTTCGCACGCTTGGCTCGATGGAGCCGGAGCTTTTTTTGCACTGATTGACTCGGTTTAATTTTGTTGTGCGATAATCGTTTCTATAGCGGTGTCTCCGCTGGCGGCCGGTCCGCCTTCATATAGTCGCATGGGGTGGTTTCTCCGCCGGCGGCCGGTCCGCCCATTTTGCTTTTCTCGTTTGATGATATATCATTGTAGCGGTGGTTCCGCTGGCGGCCGGTCCGCCAAGCTTTTTTTTGCCACGTTCATTTTCATTTCGAGATGGCACTTGAAGCGGTTGTCCGCTGGCGGCTGGTCCGCCCAGGAATTGTTCGGCGTGATTTTTATTTCGAGATGGCACTTGAAGCGGTGGTCTGATGGCACCTTGCGATTTTTTGCATGTTTGGATTGTGAGTGCGCGGATGAAAGGCTGCAAGACTCAATCAAGGCTCCAGAATCCAGACTGCTGACTGCAAACTCCACACTCCAGACTGCAGACTCCAGACTGCAGACTCCAAACTGCAGACTCCAGACTGCAAACTCTCCTCCCCGCAGCAGCCCTCTTCGTCCTGCATCGCGAGGGCGTGGAAGAGGCAGTTGCCGTCCCCGGGGACGTCGACCACCGCCAGGGCGCAGATCGCCGCAACCTGCGAGCGGCCGCAGGGAGGGGGCGGTGGTCCGCCGCGGCCGCAGACGAAAGATCCCGGGGCCATTCTGCCAATCAAAAGTCCTGCGCGCGCGACGGGCGACCCCGCGAGGAAACCTCTCTGCCGCGAGAAGCGAGCGCGGACAGTCCTGATCGCAAACAGCTAGGCGTGCGCGAGAGCTCGGAAGCTTGAGCCGAAAAGCCGTGCAAACGGCCGCGGCCAGCCCAGTCCCAAAAGTCGACGCGGCCGCGCGTTGCTTGGGGGGGCGGCGGCGCGGTGGAAGGCTTGAGAATCTCGCAAATTGGCGCGGCGTTCGCCAACTCCCTTCCTTGCAAGACGAGGCGCGCAACCGCGACGCCCGTGCTCTCCTGCGAGGGCCAGACTTTTCTCCTGCTGTCGCCCGCAACGTCTTGCGTTTTGCGACTGTCGGCGGTCCGCTCAAGAACCCTGGGCTGCGAACAGGGCCCGGTCCAAACGCAGCCGGACGCAAGGGCGGCCGCGTCGAAAGCGGTCAAAGCAGACCACGTCTCGCCACACAGGAAACGGAAAGTCGCAGTCCAAGGCGGCAGCCTTCAGCCGCCCTTGCCAAGCCCGGACCGCCCGCCAGCAAGGCCGGGACAGGCGCCGCTCCGAAACGAAGCCTAGGAAGAGCACAAAAATTTGGAGCTCGGCGCGCAGGCGCAGCGGCTCGCCGTAGACCAGCCATCGCCAAGAAGGCAGCGGAAAGTCCCAGTCTTCGCACTTTCGGCGCAGCCGCGCCTGCCACAATGCCAAAGTTGGAAGCCGCAAGTAGGCGCAAGGCCCCATGGTCGCCCCCGCAAAGGCGGCGACTTCGCGCCAGAGCGCGCCGTCGTCAGCCTGGGCCTCAAAGAGAGCCGCGGGCGTCTGCCGCGCGCCCGCCGCGTCGTCCTCTCCCTCGTCGCTTTCGGAGTCCCGCACGTCGGCCCATCGGGGCCGCTGGCGTTTGCAGCATGCGCGGCGAAGCTGGAAGTGGCTTGAGCCCGGAGCTGGCCGCGCTCCCCCTCCGCTCTTCTCCGTCGCTCGCCGTTTGTCTCTCTTCCTCGCAGCGCTCCTCTTTCCGAACGCGGCGCGCGACCCTCCGACTCACCGTGGCCGCGCCGGCCGAGCTTGCCGCGCACAAACAGCCGTCAGGAAGTGGTCGCAGCGGAACACAATGGCCAGCCCGGCGTCGAAGGGCGGCTCCTCTTCGTCTTCGTCGCCCGCCGCCAAGCAGCCGCGGAAATCGCCAGGGCGGTCGACTCCGCGCGAGTAGATGAAGCGAGCCTGGCCCTTGCGCAGCAAGCCGAGGTAGAAGTCAAACTCTGGCCCCCCAAGCAAGTCGAAGAAGTTGAGCCGCTGCAGCACTTCCATTGGATTGAGGCCCCGGAGGCGCCAATAGCGATCAATCCAGCGCCGCATCTGGAACTGCGAGCCCCCGCAGAAGGCGGGCGGGCGGAAGCGGTTTGCCCGCTCCTCGTCGAAGTCCCAACAGGCCCGCACTTCGAGAAAGTCGCAGAGCTCGAAGCCCGGCAAGCGCGCGCGAGCGCCTTGAAGGAAAGCCGCAAAGTCTTCGGCGAGCCTCCGCGCGGCAGCGCCCCGCTCCGTCCACTCTGGCCTGCGGGCGTCGCGGCAAAGCGCCAAGAGGCGAAGCGCGGCTCGCCCGTCCAGTAGCTCGAGGAACTCCTGCAACAACACGTCGAAGACTTGGGCGCGGACCAGCGGCATGGCGCAAGGGGAAACGCCGCTAGAGGGGCCGCGCCGGGTCTCACAAAAGGGCTCGGTTCGAGAACGCTGCGTCGCTTCCCCCCTTCCGCGGCCGCCCTGCGCGCAGAGCCACTGCAAGCAAGTCTCGGAGAAGCCCGAACAACACGGCGGCGCGGCCAAACCCGCGGCTTCTTATTTCACTGCTTCTTCAAACACTGCGTCGTCGCTGAAACGGAAGACCTAGCGGCTGGACGGCCCCGTCACTTCGCCTCGCCCTCGTTGTCGACCTTCTCGCCGCTGGCCGCCGCCGTTTCCCCCGCCTCTCGTTCTCCGGCTTGACTGTCAAGTTGAGTGGGCGCCGCCAAGCCAAGGCTCGACTGACCTCGCGGCAGCGCGCTCCTCTGGCGCTTCTTCTTGCCGCCGCCCTTGGGCTGCGCCGGGGCGTCCTCGGCCGTCCTCCGGAAGATGTTGACTCCAACGGCGCCGGGCGGGCGCCAGTACGGGATCGGCTCCGCCAGGCGTCGCGGGGCAGTCAGGCCCAAGCCGCACACGCGCCTCTCGTATGGCAGGGCTGCGTCGCGCGGCCACAAGTGCTGGTCTGCGAGCTCGTGAAACTCCGCCTCGCTGAGCACGCGGGCGCCAGAGATGGTCGCGCAGCCGTAGACCTTGCCCCCCATGCCCAGCCACACGCGGCCGAGCGCGTGCCGGCTCGCAGTTCCATGGTCTTCTCGCCGCTCAGCACGAGGTCGAGCCACGGCTGCCGCATCACCAGCACGCGGTCTCCCACGGCAGGCGCGCTGTCTTCTGTCATGCGGCGCGCGAACCAAGAGGCTTTGAGCGGAGCAGGTCGCGAGAGCTAGCTATAGCTGGGCAAAGCGGCTGCGGCGGCCGCGATGCTCAAGTCCGAGCTTGAGCCGAAGCCCCGGCCCCCGCCCTTCAAACCGCTCTCCGCCGACAACGAAAGGAGCCCGAAGGGAAAAAGGGTCGGCGAACTAGGAAAACTTTTCTGAGCACTGTCGACAAGCGGCCACGCCGATTCGACTCCGCGCAACCCCGTCCGTCTTTTTGCGTCTTCAAGTGGCGCAGTCCACGCGCCGCACTCCGCCACTCAGTCTCCGCCGTCTCGGTGGCAAGCACAGACTCTTGCTCGGCTACCCACTTGGCCAGCGGGTCGCGCGCGGAGGTCGCGTTGACGAAGTGAAGCGGGGCCCCCAGCAGTACGTCCGCGAAGATCTCTTGGACGCGCCGCTTGTCCTCCAAGGAGTCTTCGATTTCCAGCACCCGAACGTAGTCGCGGTCCCGCCCGCCGCCGTTTCGGCCCACAACGTGCGCCCCAGGGACATCCACCTCGTCGAACCTGCTGCGGTAGGCGAAGATGCCTCCGTAGAAGATCAGCGAGTAGCGGCGGCCGCCTGCGCCCGGCCCGGTTTCTCCGCAATTTCCTTCTTCTTCTTCTCCAAGCAGCTCTTCCCCATCCACGCCCTCGCCCTTGGCCGCCTCGACCCGAGCGAGCTCCAATTGGCACACAACGCGGCGGCGACCCTTGGGCGGCCCGACCGCGAAAGGCTTGGGCAAGGGAAAGTCCATTCTTGCCCAGCGCGGGAACTCTTTCCCGAAGCTTAGGCTGCGCGGAGCAGTCAAGAGGCCCAGGCGCGGGACAGCCGCCAGGTCGCCCACGCGCTTCTTGTGGTCCAAGACGAAGGCCACGAGGTCCAGCGCGGGCGACGGGTCAGGCCCCGCGCAGTAGATGGCCATGTTCCACGGCGCGACGCCCACGCTGTCAGGGTCGAGCGGGCCGCTCTGCGGCGGGGCGCCGATGTTCAGCTTGACGCGGAGGGCAGTCTCCAAGGACTCGAGGCAGCGGACGTCCTTGTCGGGGTGCTCGAGCAAGGCCTCGCGCGCGAACTTCAGCAACTCCTTGGGCCCGAACGCCTCCTTGGCGGAGCCGGCGATCTGCGCTTGCCACAACGGCACATCGGTCTCCAAGCCTTCGAAGAAGGCGGCGAAGGCTTTTCCCCAGGGCCGCGCGGCGGCGAACAGCACGCCGGGCGCCAACTGCGCCAAGGGGTCCCCGCGGGCCTTCTTGGTCGCGCCGTTGAATTGAAGACCGTCGGCTAGGAGGCGGCGCTTGGCGGGCATGGCGCTGGACACGTGGCTACAAAAGGCAACTTGTTAAAACCCTCTAGGCCCCGTGCCGAAATTGGGTAGCTGTTCTGAGGTCCTTGTTGGTGTTGCTTCCCAAGTTCCAGTGATCGCCATTTGGCTCAAGACACAATTGAGGTTCAAGATCTGATGTGTGACTGCATACATACGTGATCGGCATTGAGAGCGAAAACTCTTTGCCTGCGCTGCATTTGTCAGGACCACTGTTGTAACTATCATTCCTTCTCCCTTACAACGTTTACACGGGTTCGGCTATAACGGCATCGTCCGTATACACCTTTCTACGTGGTTGGTATTACAGCTTGAGGGTTCGGTGCATAGCGTCCCACGGGACGTCACCTTGCCGTCTCTTGACAGGTTATCAGCCGTAACTACAAGCTCTACACTGGACTGGGAGACAGCTGGTTTATTGCGGGTACAGGGACAATAAAGGAACGATAACCTACACAGTACAATGGCGTCTTCGGCGAGCCCAAGTACTGCAACTTTTGGGAACAGCAGCTCAGAGGGATCCAATGGATTGATGGCTCTTCCTGCGGTGATGGATATGGTTGCAGATTCACAGGATGAACCTGGGAGCGGAGGTTCCGCGCTATTCAGCGACATATCTACTCCCACAAGATCATGGAAGCAGATCGATGTTCATCAGGAGTCGAAGAAAAGAGAATCCCCACCGAGAAGATCATCATCTTCGCCTGCGACACCACGGACGTCGCAGAAGGGCGTGAGATCGACATCGAAGGGTGGGAGGTCAAAATCACCCACCAGTGCAGATTTTCGCGCCGTGATCAAAGAGAAGAATAAGATGGAGGTGGAGATCGGGGAATATCAGAAGACACTTGATGAAATGTCGGCAGCAATGGCGAATCTTAACCAAGAAGACTATGGAAGCACCATCCGGATCCAGGAGCTGGAAAGACGATGCGAGATTGCCAGCAAGCAGTCGGGACATCTAGTGAGTCACCACCAACACCACATGGCTGAGGCATGGCGCAAGTTTGAGGAAGAAGCCCAACAGATGCGCAAGGTGGAAATGAACGCATTTCAGTACGGGGAGAAGAAAGACATGGAGTCGAATATTATAATGCAACAGATGAGACAAGCTGAAGGAACTATCATGGAGCAGAAGCGGGAGATTGCATTGATGAAATCCTACATGGCAAGCGAGAAGTCGGCCGCGCAGGAATCAGCTATACGTGCAAATCAGATACACCGTGAGGCTTCACAACAGATATCAGTTTATCAGCAACAGATCAGAGGCATAGAATCTTCTACATCTATCGAGAAGTTCAACGAGGAGGAGATGGTCCAAAGTCTGAAATCACAGTTGGAGCATGCACTCGTCAAGCGCCCCGAGACGTACTCTTTGGAGGACTCCAGGGAACAGCTGATGGCGAGGCTGAATGACGTTACAGTATTTGCGGAACAGGAATCGAAGAGAGCAGATTGCTTGCTTCGCGAAAAAGAAGAGATCGTCAAACAGTATGAGTCCGACGTGTCGATGAAGGACCAGATGATTGCTGTCGAAGGTGGTCATCGTCAGGATGCGATCTTGGAGTTAGCCCAGGTCAAAGAAGAGAAACAAGAGGAACGGTGCACGATGGACGAGAAGTCGAAGGAGGCTGAGTACTGGAGATTGACAGCTAAGGGAATGTACGATGAGTACCTCGAGGAGATGCATGAGCTTCAGAGACAACTGAAGGAAAGAGAGGCGACGCTCAAGCAAGAAGAGAGTTTTGTACGCCAACTCGATGCTGACAACGAGGAACTACGTGCACACAAGAAGCTGGAGACACAGGAGCCTCCAGCAGCAAAGATGGACATCGTGAACGAGCAGTAGTGAAACGCGCTGAGGGAGGAACCCAGGCTAATTCAAATAGGATAGACAAGAAGGTGGCTGGGTCAGTCCCGTCATCGTCTTCAAATCAAATCCCTAATTCGTCGCTGATGCCAGGTTCGATCCTCTTTCCGTCTTTCGGTGATCCAATGATCGATGTACACCTATCCCAGATGCAAGGGGTTGTTGGGCATGTCCCACAATCCACTACTACGACTGGTGGTGGTGATGGGGGGGAAACAACGGTACTACGCCCCCATTGGATTACGGTGGATTCCCGCCCAATGGGAATGGGCAGGGAGCGGGTCGACGTCAGTTGAGCCTCGCTGGTGGCGGAGGAGGACCTCCGGATGATCCACCCGATGATGAGGATGAGGATGACGACGACGAAGGAGATGAGGAAGACGAGGAAGAAGAAGAGGAAGAAGACGATCGGACACGGAGGAGACGAAGGAGATCGAGAGATAACCGAGAGATCAAGAATGATCGACCGAGAATCTCGAGGAAAGAGGCCGAGAGAGTATCTATTCCGGCCTGGCCAAAGATCCATCAACTTGACACCTGGAAGATGCAACTGCTGATGAATGTTCTGAGCGCATGTGCAGATCCAGATACCGACGCATGGACGAAATGGCTGGAGCAGGCTCTTGGGTTGAACCCAGACCTGGATTTGCTTAGCGATTCAGGTGGCGACAGATTTGCTACGATAGATATTAAGATGGCCATGGGCATGCAGAACATGCTGAAACAAGCACCTGACGAAGCCAAGGACGTATACCTCGATGCTACACGACACTCTGAACTACGACATCAACAAGGGGTGATCGTGAAGGGACGAGAGTTGGTGGCATTAGTTATGCAATCATTCAGAACTTCCGATAGAACGGATCTTGTCTACCACATCGAGCATTTATTCAACCTTGACTTTCCTGGCGACAAGAACTTGGTCATGTTCAGGAACAAATGGTATGATTTGCTGCTGAAGATGAGGAGCGAGGACAGACCCAGTAAGCTGGCTCTC